ACTCCATCTTTCCAAAGAGTCACTGTTAGCCTCACTCTGTCTCCCACCCACAGCCTAGCAACACACATACACACACAACGTAAGTTTGAGGGCGAGCTAGCGAATTCCTGAGGGCTATCCGGTTTCGGGTTGCCTTGGCAACCAAGCACGGAGGCAGATCCATTAATCATTGAGAGCAGTTCACTCCAGAGTGGAGGTCAGACTGATTGCTGTGGATTGGGTATCATCCCAAAACACACATACACGCATACACACACACTTACAAACATACACATGGACCTTGATTTAAATTAGAAAAGATTGGTCTTCCAACTTTACCTATTTTCTGCCATAAAGTATGCAATCCCTAAACCACACACATGAAAAAGACACACCTATATACAGTATTAGAATGCAAACACAAACCTAATATACAGCTAAAACTGTCAGGGAAGCAATTCCATACTGTATCCTTGAATTCTTTCTTCCTTGGCCCTGTTTCCTAAAAGACTCGACATACAAACTCACATGTACACGCACAAAACAATCACTCCCTCCAGTGTTGTCTAGGCATCAAGACGGTGGCGTCCATCGTGGTGTCATGTGACGTGGTTACATGGAGCCGAGTGGATTAAGAGATTGGAGCGCCGCATTTATTTTTCAGGGACTCGGCTGAAACATTAGACCTGCACAGGTGTCTAGGAAAACTGAGAGAGCAAAGACAGAGAGAGAGAGAGAGAAGCATAGAGAGGAGTGGAAAGACACAACAAGGAGCAGAGGAGAAAAAGCAACATAAACACACTTTTTACCACTAAATATCATATTTATGTGTCCACATCTTCTATTCTGTTTTCATAAACCTATGTTTTCTAGTAGTATCTTGTAGTAAACAGTTTTTTTATACATTATCATAAATCCACTGTATTGGGGATGCAACAAACAACGGGAGGGATACCACGCATCAGTACTTCAGTATATTGCAAAAGCTCAGCTGTTTTTCTCATTAGCATTAAATAGTAGTTGAAACACTGGACAAAGGTATTGGTCCACCTACACATCACAATTACAGGAGCTGGTCAGCAATAGAAATCCATGCCATGAAGCTGCTAGCAGGGAAGTTTTGTGCTGATGTTAATGCCAGAGGAGGTTTGGAGTTCTGCAGTTATTGAGTCTGCAAAATGTTGGCAACTTTAACGCACTATGCGCTTCAGCACTCGGTGACCCCGCTCTGTAACTTTACATGATCTGCTCCTCGTGGCTGTGGTTCCCAAACACTTCAACTTTGCAATAATATCCCTTACAACCGATCATGGTATATGTAGGAGACAAGAAATTTGAATGGTTGCATTCCATTGCTACCATACTTGAATTCAGTGAGCTTTGTCCAACAACCTATTCTTTCACTTTTATATACTTGTCCACATATGTCCTGTGAACACTTTAGTATGTAGGTAATGTCACAAAAATGTGGAAAATGCAAAATATATGTTTAAATAGTTTGCCTTTCCTTGCACTGTTGTTTTAACTCACTTTCTTGTAAAACAGAGATGCAAATGCCAAAGTAAAGAAATAAGAAGGTAGACAGAGAAATGCATTTTCCCCATTTGTTCAGTCTAGGTTTCATTTATTCTCTTCACCAATTGAATGCATCTGCTACCAATCAATTTTACTGAGTAACCTCTATTAAAGGCCAACTATCACTATATAGCAAATACTACAGGCACAGATGGTCAGTGGTGTGCCCATGATCACACAATACATAGACCTCATGCTATTTTATTCACTCACTCACACACACTATCTCCAATGCAGTTTGTCCAGTGAGATTTATGGTGTCCTGGGAAACGTGATGTAGACGGCTACAAATCAGCATGACTATGAAATAGAGAGCCACATGAACACATACACACACACACACATATTCAAGTGCACACACCAAATCTAAGCACATTTGTGTCACACACAGAAACACAGGCACAGCCGTGACTCATGTGAGCACGCATACACTTTCAAACATACACATAGACACACACACACACACACACATAGGCACGAGCACATGAACACATGAAATATAGGTACAGCCACTGCACCACTGAACCGACTCCCAAAGGTGCCCACTAAATTTACTGGCTCCTCTAGCCACTTCAAAAGCTCTCCATAACTTAGAGGCCAGACGATTTTATTGTTTCATGGAAGAAAGGACGGTGAAAAAAAAGAAGCAAAGGAGAGCGAAGGAGTGAAAGATAGATGTACTGGGAAAAAATTAAATCCTCCTTTGTTTCAGACAATTAAAATTCCTCTGGTTCTAAGTCATGTGGACCCACAAATACAGAGCGTACATGTTGCCACACCCTTACACATTTACGCCAAAGCAAAAAATTTGTTAATTCCATCCTTAATGTCTTTAACTCTTCATCAGTAATGTACATATGCACACATGGAATGGCTGTAGCTCAGGCGGTAGTGCAGGTCACCTACTAATCAGACAGTTGGTGGTTCGTTCCCTGTCTGCTCCAGTGCATGCCAAATATCCTTGAACAAGATGCTAACCCCAAGTTGCTCTCTGATGGACGAATGTGTGTGAATGTTAGTTAGAAAGAGCCTAGAAGGAAAGTAAATGAGGCAAGTTGACTATGAGAACCAGTCCATTTAGCAATGGAAGACTGAGCATTTTAATTCTCCCCTTTTCCATCTGTACCTGTCTCCATCTTTTTTTCTGCATGTGAACCTCCCTGTGAGTTATGATCAGTGAAGCCAGTTAGACCTAATGATGTAGACACTCCAGGTTATGGGGCAAAGCGCTGGTAGCAGAACTTGTTAATGGCCATTTTAGTAGTAACACTTGCCTTGCGGCACTGCACTAATGATAAGCAAAGGTGATGAGTGGTTGAGTGATCCTGCCATAGGCCTCATTTAAGAATTCAAATCAGTTAATAATGTGGTCGCTATAAAGTGATGATTTCAGTTTGTTTTTTTTAATAGTTGAAGTTACAGTAACAATTGGGGTTTATAGCAGTATGGAAAAACATCTTACTGAAGTGATGACAGGGCTTGTGCATGGAAATTGCATGGTTTTGTGTCTGGTTTTGATTTGTGCTCAAATGTCAGCTCTACTGCTAAAAAGTCACAGCATGTGTCATTTGCACTTCATCTTCTTTACGTAGTTCTTGTTCCATAACATTTATCAGTAATCAAACACTTTTGCTCTTCAGCCATTCATGTCAACTGTAAACCCTCGATGCACACACTCACAGTATTAGGTAAGATGAGACTTTGTATTTAGCAAACTGAGCTTCCTGGCAGGTGGTCCACCAAATGTTATCTTTTTAACCTGTGTCCTCGTACATGCACATGCAACACACAAGAGCCTATTTGCTAAATGAGCACAGGTGATCACGAAAGGATAAGGAGGCCTCTGACAGAAGGACAAGGATTTACTCACTAAATCAGCCCAAACAGAACAAAGACACGAAACAGGGAGATCATATTGAAGTTGCACTGAAATATACTAGAGCTCTTCGTGCATGCTCTTCCAATACTTGCTAATTGCATTGCTTCTAAGCAACTTTATATGCATGTGTTTATCTTTCCGTGTGTGCAACCCATGTCGAATAATAGACTAGTACCATCTGCTGCTTGATGGCTCAGGCAAAATTCTCAGCTTGCAGTTGGTGGTCCCCGCTTTAGCCACCCCACAGATTATCTATCAGTGTTTGCATCTCCATGTACATATATGTGTATCTCTGTGTGTGTTTAGCTGCTTCATGTATGCATGTGTTCTTGTGTGCACACTGCAGCCCACCAAGTCAGAACACCCAGATGGAATGAGGGATCAAATTCTTGATTAAAAATGGCAGAGGGAGTTCTGAATTTTTCTGTGTGTGTCTGTGTGCCTTGTGTGCCGTGTGCATATGCTGTGTGACACATATACCCTCTCCCACATGTTTTGTGCCTGCTCACACACTGAGTTAGGTAAAGTTGATAAATTCCAGATATCCTTGCCGCCCTCTCACAAACTCAGCTTTGCATCGATGGAAATAGAAATGCGGACTTATTCTATGCAATTAACCTTTAATTAAGCAGGAAAGGCAGCAAAGAGCCACAGAGGAACAATACACTGTCTGTTCATTTATTGGAGTGTTACGGCCCCAGAGTCTCACCCAATACTCAATAGAGCATGTTCAAATTAGGAAATAATTCCTGCTTATGAGCTTTATGGAGGTTTGCCAACAAAAATGATCAGCATTCGTCATGAAAGCTGTTAAATACAGTAAACATGACTTTGCTTAAAATATCTTTTTCATATGGCTTGATGAAACACATAATAAATAAAACAGTTAGCCTTCTAAAAATAATATTTTTGTCCTTCTAGTATAGCTAATGGTGATATTATATCCAATAACTGACCAGCTGCCACATCAAAGACAAATTAAAAAAAGAGAGATACAGAAGAAATCCTAAATTGAAATTGATGTAAAATTCCACAGCAGCAAAGGTGGAAAGTAGTACAGCTTTCAGAGTATGTAATGTTATGATGAACTTGCCTGTGTAAACGCTCTGCCCATGTGTGATCTATTTTTGAGACAGAGCCTTACAAATCAAATTAAGTATGCCAGAGACACCTCATGCTTTCCTTTTTTTGGATTTCTTCAAAATCAACTGGTCTCTGTCTGATCTGAAGGCTGATCTGAAGCATTGAAACTGGATTTTTTACAGCAGGTAGCAAGGAGAGATGATTTGCTCTTTTCCTGTCAGATATATCTTTGCCCTGTACTGCCCCGCAGATCACTGCACACACTCCTTTGACTATTTATGGCAGCAGTTAACTCTCAGTGCTCTGGTAAAGAGCTTCAACAGCAGGTGAAGTCAAAGATATAGCAGAGAACCATATCCCGGGCCTGACACGATACTACAACGCATAAACTCACGCAGATGAAAAATTGCAGCGAGCAAACTCACCAGGGTTAAAGATTAAAATGTGTGTTTTTGTGTGTGTTTTAGAGCTAGTAGTGTGATACCAGATTGATTCCAGACTGGTGTTTCTGTGGTTTTTGGAAAGGTAATACCCTCTGCCCTCTTTTTGCTGTAGCGCTGCTGTTGCACAGCCTCTATCCATTCAGCTGATGGATGTTGCCCAAGAGACTCGCAAACGAAGTGCAACCTGCAACATCAGGAGAGAAGATGCCACAAAAGAAGAGGGAAGAAGGTAAAAGAGGACAAAGGAAGAACAGAAACGAGATCTCAAGTCAACAAAACATAGTGTTATTAAGACGGTACAATCATCCACTTCTGTAGCGCTCTATTCTACTTTATTCTATTCTGTTCTTTTTGTGAGACACAGCTTAGTGTCCATTTTCTCTTCCTCATTCCAACAGAAGGATTGATCCCTCAGGCCATAGACCGTTTCAAAATGGGCTTTATTATAGCACACTGTTTCTTTTGATTACAGGAAGGTCTCACTTTACCCCACCACTCCATAGCTGTGTGTATTGTATTACCCACTGTTCTGCCCGTGCATGTGTGTCAATATACATGTGTATGCAGATATGTTAGTGCTTTTTATTTGGGCTCCAGATTAAGGCCTCTTATTGCCTGGGTTCTGCTGCATGAGTCATTTATTTCAACGTAATATTTAGAGCAGTTTTTGCCTCGCATGGTTAAAAAACATTGATGTGAAGCTTGCTCTTGTATTGATTTATTTCCAATTATTTCCAAGTAATCTCACCTTTGCTCTGTTTTGACTCTCTGGCCACGTGTTGGATTTGTGCTGGGCTTAAAAAAGCATTTCAGGCTGATTAATGATATATACAGTATTTAAAAATATCCTTTATTTTTAAATACATGACCACGCTGGTTTATCTAAAAAAGCAGTAAGCAAAGCACGTAAAGTAAAGTAAGAGGTCCAAAAGTGGTCATAAAAGATGCTGAACATCTTTCACATCCATTTCCAAATGGATATCACAACCACATTTGGAAAGAATAACTAAGAAGTTTCGAATAGAGTTGCATAGTGTTTAATAAATTGAATCTGACTGGCCAATAAAATCCTGCCGTCTGCTCAGAAGGGGTCATTAAAAGGTCAAGGGCCTAGCCCCTGATCCAGACAGACAGCCTCGATTCCGTGTTTTCCGCAAAACACAAATGGGTGAAATTCATACTTCAGCAATGTCAACTTCCCTCTGCAGCACTGTCACTTACAGCACAGGCCTTGGAGAGCACAGAGAGCGAGTGAGAGAGAGAAGATATATCCTGTATCATTTCCTGTTCTGCCAAGCGATGTCTTTCTGACCTTGTTCATGATATGCCTCCACGCTTCTCAGTATACTCCTTCCTGGCGCTTTTATATGTGAATCTGTCTGTCTGTCTTTCTTGCTGATCCGCTTTTTATCTGTCTGTCTGCGTCTTGCTCTTGACTCTACCTGTTTCTCCCTCTACCTTCCTGTCTCTCTTCGCCTACACACGGTTTGTAGCTGGCAATATAAGGTGCACACTGCAGGACGAGGAGGGTATATTTGCTTCTTTTCATTCCAGGCATCACGCCAGATGCCGCCTCTCCCTCTACACCCATTTTTGACCACATGGTCAAGAGGGAGTGTTTTCTGTTGCTTTTGGACTGCACTTTCAAAAAGCCTTTCCCTCGCCCTGTCTGTCTTCCCTACACGTCTGACGAAAACTCAGACTCCTTTTTTCCAACCAGAAGTGCTAGTTCTGGCATCGTGAGCAGCTCTCTGCAACCCCAACCCCAACATGCTTGCACACACACACACGCGTGCGTACGCTAACCACACCTCAAGCCCTTCACTAAAACACCAAATATCTAATTTTTCGAGCAGGAGCATGGAGGAGAGAGATGGAAAAAAAGAGATACAGCATATTTATGAAAACAAACTGGGCTGATGCTTTGACAAGTGCAGTTTAGATTGTGGGTATATACCAACAGGAAAGGTGAGAAGCAGGTAAATGTAAACGTTCATTACATTACCATCGACTGCTGGGCCTCTGATGTACGATCCCAGCTTTCTTAAAAGCTCTCCTCTGACCAAAGTCTAGCTTCTTCTAATTCCACCCAGAGCTCTGGGAATTTATTAAATTACCTAAAATGATCACATAAGAAAAAGAGCTTTAGAATTTGCTGAGGTGCACAGGATAAGCTTTCAGACCTATCTACAGAATCTCTTTAATTCCCCAAAAGTGTGTGTGTTTTAAAATGTCAAAGTGCCTCAGTGCAGCTTCTTTTTTGCTGAGTCCATTAAAATTTCCCACATCCTTCTTTTGCAAAACACAAAAATTGTTCGATATTGATGGAGTTAGCCAGTGTACACAGAGGTACTCACTCTGGGAATAATTTATTCATTTTTATGTCTTTCAAATTCCTTCTTTTTGTAACACTTATAGGCAGATTTATTATAGTCATTACAGAATTATTATATGTGTATTTCTTTGACTTTGCTACAATATAACAAAATTTATTAAATGACAATAAACCGGTGCAATAATTTGTAAACAATTTCAAGCCTTTACACAATTAAATGTAGTATAAAGACAATATAAAAAAGTTTAAAAATGTTCATGTTGAATTTGACATCTGCATGTTTTGCACTGATTTCTTCCATTGTTTCTTTAAATAACACTGTAAGAGCTGTTAAAATGTTTGTGATTTTTTAAAAATTGCAAACAGCCTGATGCAACATTTCAGTCGCCCAACGGTTTATCATCTCCTCCTTTGTCATCTGTTTTCATAATGCACAAATCATTTTCAATGGGGTACAATTCTGAACAAGTTTAGGCAGGCCAGTTTAGCATTTGGACCTGTTCCTGCTGGGCCATGCTGCTGTAATATATTTAGAATGAGCATTGTCTTGTTAAAATAAACCAGATCTTCTCTCAGTGATATATTGCTCCAGAACCTGTTTATGTTCCTCAGCATTAATGGCGCCTTCGTAGATATGCAGGTTACCTATGCCATGAGCATTAATGCACCCTCATACCATCACAGATTCTGGCTTTTTAAATTGTGTGCTAATAACAAGCCAGATGGTTCTTCTCTCCACGTTAGTCTGGAGGATGAGGTGTCTAGAAAAGAATTTTGATTCATAAGACCACAGGACAGTTTCCACTCTGCCTCAGTCCATGCAAAATAAGCTTGGGCCCAGAGAAGGCAGCAATGTTTCTGGATCTTGTTTGTACCAGTTTAGTTTTGTCTTTGTATGATAGAGTTTTGGCTTACATTTGTGGATGCAGAAATAAACTGTATTCACTGACAGTGGTTTTTAAAACAGGTCCTGAGCCTATGCAATAATTTCCACTGTAGTCTGTTTCAAATACAATGGTGCCTGAGGGCCATGCAGCCATTCTGTATTAGTTTTCAGCTTGTATAGAGTCTTCTCTGGGATAACAATACTTTAATGATAATATTTACTGATAATGATAAAATCACAAAAATCTGAATGTTGACTTTGTGAATTCTTACAGTCTCCCAAAAAGTGGTAATCCTTCCGCAACGTTTTAAGAGACTCCACTTCTCTAATATTTTCTGTTGTTGTCTGGCACAGCTATTTGAAAGATTGTTCATTAAATTAATGATTATATCCTTGCCTTTTAAAGAAAAACATTTCTCAGTTTCAGCATTTAATATTTTGTGTTTCTACTGTTTAAAATTAAAATACAGGGCTTAAATAATTTTATAGCTTTTTCCCATCTATTTTTTCAAACAACTTTGTAAATAATTATCGATATATATATTTAAGAATTGAGACAAATCCTTTGAATAATTGATTTTGTGTTTGCTTGTTGCTTTAATGAAATCTGACTTTGATAATTTACCTTAATGAGTATCTTTCACCATTATAAGACCTGTTATAAGCATGGAGACATCAGCCAGACAGCTGCAGATGCACGCTCAAACTCACACACATGCACACACACACACAGAGGACTGTGTTAATGAGAGTGTACTCTCCTTCTGTTTCACTCTTTCTCACCCCATCAGGGAATATAAAGTTTAACAAGCGTTTTGCTATCAGTGACCCTGAGGAGGAAATGCACTCACCACCGAGAAATACTACTAATTACCCAAAACTCCGTGGGTGTCTCTGCTGCTGTGAGTTTTGCATGTGTGTGCAAGAAGAAAGCTTCAAGAAAGTTTCAAACAGGGTTTGTGTAGTAGGAGGTGGTGTTTTAGTTGTGTGTCTGTGTGTCTGTGTGTGTGGTGGTGGTTGGGGGGGGGGGTTAGGTAGTAGTTAGGTTTTAGATGGGTAGGTGGAGGCTAATTTATGTCAGCACTATAGCGAGCTCCAAGATTTATTGATGGTAAGGCAATACAGGGAGATCTGCTTCTTCAAAAATGCTCTGCAGCTCCCTCCTGCTCTACACACATAACTTAATGCCCTCCACCTTCCACCTCCCACCTCCTATTATACAACATGTCTGTCTTTCACACCGAAGCCGACTGTAATTGTAGAGGCCGTACTGTTGCTGTGCTGACGCAAGGGACATATGGTCCTGAAAGAAACCATTAGAAGTATTGGGGGGTGGTGCTTGAATTCTGTCTCAGTCTTACACTCACTCACGCACACACAGAGATGCACACGATTCCAGTGTGTATGACCCATTCCATGTTTTCCCCATCCATATAAAATGACAGAATTCTTTAAATTTGTGGTGAGATTAGAGCGAAAAAAGTTGTCCTTTGGAGGTAAAGGGAATTTACCAGCTGAGACTGGACAATAATTTGCAAATGGGAGAGGTGGGAGTATTAACACAAGGAAGGAAATGCCCTGTAAATTTTTGGGAGTGATGTCTGTTTCTCAGTATCAAAACTCCATGGGTGTATTTTTTGTACTTCTCTGTAACATTTATACTGTTATTTATGTGCAGACTTTAGTAGGGTAGATATGTGTTGGTATGCCATTTACAATCGTCTGTTTCATGACTTTTAGTAAGATGTTTGAGTTTCTGAGTTCTTTAAGACTTTAACATTTTGTCGTTCGTTATCACTTCCAGCCTGAATGGAAACACTTTGAAATGACCTTAATTCCTAAATTGTTAAATTCATAATTAAACTGTATTTAATAGTTGTTACTGTTAACAAATAATGAAGTGATAATAATTTTATCAACTGGTTATTAGAGTGTTACAAAGTTGTCACTTGTGTTTACATCTGTAAAAAGACGTTTGGGGTGAATCACATGTAGATTGTTGTTTATTTTTTTATTTCCCTCATTTTTGTTTACTTTTACTCGAGGTTCCGTGAGGTTTTGAGACCACGTTTGGTTAGGCGTAGGAAAAGATTGTGATTTGGATAAAAATACTGTCAGCTGGAAATAACACTATTCTGGCTATTGCCATGTCGCAGAACCAACGCTAAATTACAGGCAGTACTGGCAGTATTTGAAGCTCTATGAGAACTGGCTCGCTGATCAGTAATGAAATATTTGCTTTTAAATGGTAATAACATGTGGTGATCATTAAAAACGCATAACTGAGAATATAAAATGTTGATACTAGTAAAGTGTATTTGTTATAGCTGTGGTAATAAAACATTATAATTCATAAATTATTATTGTATTACACAAACTGATGATATAGATAAACATGCATTATAAACTAATGATATAAATAAAAATCCTTCAAAAAGAAGCAAAATAAAAATTTATTAAAGTACAATTAACTATTATTTGGACTTTCTAAGCAGAGGTTGTGATCAAGTGTTACCTCAAAAGGTATTCCTGTTAGCTATAATAGCTTGGACACATGTGTCCATGGGTATCTCTTCTGTTGATGTCAAGCAGAAGGAACTTCAAAGTCATGTTCTAGTATGTTCAGTATTTTTATATGCAGGCCTGGGTTCTCTCCCAGTCGAGGTCGTTTCAAAAGAGCTGAAGGCTTATAAAAGCCATGTTAGGGTTATTATGTACATCCTATCTGCCTCAGCCTTCACTGACCCACGCACACACACACAAACTGTGTGTACGTGTTTTTGTGTGTGTGTGGTCATTAGGCAGAGCTACAGTGGAATCCGTTTACTCTCATAATTTTGCTGTTCGTTTTTGTGAGCCTGAGAGGAGGAACGAACATCCTGAGTTTATTGGCCATTAGAGAGCTCTAGATGTGTGTGTGCATGTAAGATTGTGTTGGTGTGTTGAAGTGTGTGTGTGTATGTGTGTGTGTGTGTCTGTGTGTGCGTATGTGTGTGTGTGTCAGGAGAGCCAGTTTGTTTGGCTAAGTGAGGCAATTTTGGTCTTTAAGTATCTCATGTCACTTCCCCTGAAACAGGGGCAAGTGATACAAGTGCTCCATTCTTAGCATCACAACACACACAACCACTTGCATGGACACTTACACACATTTCACTCACACTATTCGGGCTCCATTTTGACTGGAATATTTGTTCTTGGACATTATTTTCAGACTGTAAATTTGTATTTCAATAATGTTGTTGAAACTACTCTAAGTAGTTAAACAAAAACAAAAAGCAATTTGTGATTTTACAATATGAGGCTTTAGCCCTCTAGAGTTATTTACTTTATGTATGAGCCTCTAATTATTTTTCTTCTGCTACAGTTGGGTCACATACTCTTCTTTTGTGTGCATGCCCTTGTCTTTCAAAGCCTAATGTAAGCAAATTAAAAGGACTTATGACTGATGTAATTGAAAACAAAGCACTTGATCCCCAAAACAGATTCACTGACATGCTTAGAAAAAAACCTATAAACCTCAAACATGTGCTCCAGTACATCACTGAAGGAAATGTACGTATGCCTGTCAAATGCAGCATAATTCCTTAAAGTCCAGTAAGATGTTACCTGATTGGCTCTTCAGGGTGGTCCTCTGATTAACCCGACTAGCTGGGAAGCAGACGGCTTTGATCTATGATTGGAGAGGTCACTCGCTGAGGTCAGCCAGCGTCCGCAGTGAATCTTAGGAGGCCAGTGATGAAGTTTTTGAGGAGCAGCTTTCCAAAATGAGACGTGACACCTAATTTCACATAAAAAAGAAAGAAAAAAAGTTAGCAGCATGCATGAGAGTGAACTCATACTGACTTGCATTGAAGTTAACAGCTCACCGCAGTCCTTGACATAAAAAATCAGTTTCTTCATGCAATCAGATGTTTTTTGACAAGCTTTAAAATGAACACCCTTTTAAATTAGATGGATGATTGGGTGATATAGTGTGTGTGAAATCCTTACATATTGTTATGTTTATGGCAAATACGATATGTGATCAAACTAATGTTTAGTGGAATCACCTGTGCTCCAAACTGCATGATGTATGTTTGCTACAGTATTCTCACAGCAATGTGTGAAATTATTTGGACAAGTAACTTGTGCTGAGCAACTATATGGCATAATAATGTAGCCATGAACTACATCACTAAAGATTGAAACCAAAAACGGAAAAAGTTGATTGCAAGGTTAGTCTGCACTTAGACTGACAATCAGTTGATCACCTTCAACAGATCGTTTTATAGCTCTGATTTCCTCTTGTTTATTTTTGTCTGTTTTATTATGTTTTTAAATCAGCGTTTAGCGAAAACAAGGCATTTGTAGGCCTTTCACTTTTCCTGAACTAATAACAGTACACACAAATCAATTAGTTATTATTATTTTCCAACTTGGTAAAATAGCTTTAGGTTGGATATCAGTCTGTAAATTAGTATCACACACTCTCTTAATCTATCCTTTCTGTGTCGTTGCTTTTTCCTTCCCCACTGCTTCTTTGTCACCGCTGTAACTTTTCATCCCCTCTGTTGAGTCAGAGGAAGATGAACTCTGAGCAGCTGTGTTACTCCCTGCCTAAGTGAGTTATGGCAAGCTGCTGTCCTCTTGGCTTTTATTGATAATATTACACTGGCTGATGTAAATATGACTCCGCCTCCACCCTCTGTCATCCTCATGCAAACCTGGAGCTCGCATCTGTGCTTGTGTGTGCGTGTGGAGGTGAATGAATTTAACGTCTGCTCGTCTATAACGCGCGAACGAGTAAGGAAGTCAGGCCCCAGTTCACTGTGTATTAGTGTTTGTGTACAAGTGTTTGTGTGAGTGTGTGTGTCGCAATCGCTTCCTGACCCCAGGACACTCCTTCCCCAGGTAGAAGCACAACGTCAGGCTTCATGCAGTTTGCCGGAAATATCGAGCTGAGACTCGACATGATAAACAGCACAGAGCATTGAGCTGGCTAAAAGAATATCCTGCCTTCATGCGGGTATATATTTTTTATCTGTCCATGCTGGGCTGCTGTGACTTCCCGCTGTGCTGTAAATAATATGTCTTTTCACAGGTGGATGTCTCCATGCGATGCACACTCGGGAACAGGACTGGATTTTACTGCCACATGTGATTTTATAGCTGTCATTTCTCTTTATTCCTTTTTTTTTTTTGCTTGAATTAGACATTCATCATTGTTGCTCTAGAAAAACAAATGTGAAAATGATCAAAGTGCACTAAAACACAACTGCAAGAAAAGACGCACACGTTTGAGACACCAGCTGCATGGCATGCACTCATTAGGTTTTTGCTGCCCTGACCTCAAGGTGTAAATTCTACATTAATGCCTCGTCTATTAGTTAAACCAAACTCTGAAGGACACACACAACACAGGCAGACACACACATCCTTTACATCCACGCACACACACCAGTACACATATCACACATACACGTGCATATTCAGAAAAGCACACGGAGAGCCGTGCAGCAGCTGTCCACCACCCACACACTCCAACCATGCCACCGTCTCTCCACACACACACCAACACAATCAAGCCCACTGTACCACATTCACTGCATTCTACCATTCCTCTTACACAGACAGGCAGGAAGCAAATGTGTCATTTATTAGAGCCTGTTTCCAATCTGTGCTGATGATGAATATCTCCGATCTCCCCATGCTGCTCCTGAATATTCTGAGACAAAGGCCTCTTATGAAATTATACTGTCATTAGGATGACTGCTCTGATTAGATATTGAGACTGGATTAGCCATCTGCTTGGCTCTTTGGCAGAGGAATGATTTGATCTGAAATAATTACCATTTATTCCTTCATGAGAACACACAGAAGGTTTTAGTTTCAAAACACGATAGGCCATGTTTATCTTGAGCGGCAAAGAATTTCCTTATGTGGAGGAATTCTTTAAAATGGGGTCCTGTGCTGTTTATATATCCTGTTTAAACTTTAACTGGATTTTTAAGGTGAATGTAAAAGGTGCACTTTCAACTACTTCTCAGATCTTAATTATTTAGAGATATTTTTATGATTTTCACAAAAATATTTAGCCTGCCATACATATTAAGGAAACAAGACAGGACACTGTTTTGAACCCGCATAACCAAGTTTAAATTTTAGATTTTTTAATACCTCTTACAGTAAAAGCTTGTTTCCGTACGACAGGCAGCATTGAGGAATGGAGATTGTTGAGGGCAGTGTGCTGGTATCAGTAGTTGCCACTGTGGAATGGACATATGTAGCAATTTATCACTTGTCTCTCAGCACATGCGTGGGTGGCCCCGCAGCGGGTATTATTGCAATTTAGGAGCAATTGACAGTAATCCCCCTCTTGCTTATGTGAAAGCTCATCATCCCTTCACCGTCCAGCAGCCGCATCTTCACTAGAACGGACCTCCAGAGCTGATATATGTCGTAGCTCGTGTTCTGTATCATTATCTGCTCGTCTCGCTCTTTATCGGGGTGGTCTGTAGAGGCACGTCAGAGAATAATACACTCGATGAAAAAAACGTGCAGATCCACTAATGGCAACTTAGTCGTACGTGTACTTAAGTCATGAGCTCTACTGTATTGACTAATATATGGAAACCATTAGTAATAAGAATAAGCAACCTGATCATGAAATCCTAAATAGCTTCACAGTAGGTTGGTGTATAGCAAACTCAAATACAGTAATGGCCTCTTTTCTCCTCTGAGCTACGGAAGAATTTACCTAAAGTTTGATTTTGGGGCAAATCTAAACATACTGCAGTGGCTTATGGTGGCGAAAAGAGTTGACCCACAAAATAAACTCTCAGTTCAGCGGGCAGTTCCCTCACCTCCGAGAAATCACTAAAGAACAAGATACTTAAATAAGTTTTGTGTGAGTGGCAGTTGGAGTCAGATTCAGTTAGCGAGTAGTGAGCGTCTGAGTGAACTCAGCCTGCTGCTCGGCCGCGCTGTATTTACTGCTTTGTTGTTTTTTCATCCAGGAAGTATGAGGTGTGGCTACTATATAGAAATCAGGGTGAGAAGGTCACAGTGACATTGGCCTCAAAACACAGAACAGGAAGAACAGGAAGATCTTCATCTAGCCGTAATTTTGCTAAGGCTGCAGATAATACAGGGAATGTAAAACTGTATGTTTAGAAATATATATTTGCAAATGAACATTTAAGTCGAAAGATTATGTAAAGAAATGGCTTAAATCTGATCTAGTCCCACACAGCTATAGCCCCTAAACACAGTACAATATTCTAAGACTGTGATTTTTGAAGAATTGCAAATGCCATTAAAAACATCTTTAGCAGATTGTAGACTTAAAGGAGCTGAAAAGTTTATGGTCCAGAGAGAAAATACATATGAAGATCATTCAGAATATAAGTCTTTGCTTTTAGTACCTATATTGTATGCACCGATTCAAGAGACATTTTTGAACTGAGAAATCTAATAATGTTACAGCTGTGCAAATCCAGATTTAATTTGAACTAAAGTTTTAGAAAGTAAGACGTTGAATTAGGGGCATAAACAGGAACACTATAAGCAATATTGTGTAATGATGTATGAGGCAGTTCCTCAGCTTAGGCCCCATCTTTTCTTTTCTTTCTTTTTTTTGAATAGCTGCGGTTTCCATATGCTCCGATTGAGTATAATTGTTAGTTTCCTGGACGAAGGTTTGCAGGCATTTAATGTACCCCGCAGGCAGAATTAAAAAGCTATCACGAAATCTAATGCTTCCATATAAAAACAAATGAGTGGCACACTGTGCACACTTCTATTTACAAAGTAAACACTTGCCTTCATCTCCACAATATCTCATGTTATCCTCAATAGTGAGCAGAATGCAACAAAAGGTTTGATGGATGGCTTGAATCATAGTCCGAGAAGTCATTTAGATGATGAAAGTAGACACATTTAATGGGCTCTTTTGAAGGATTCAGATTTACTGAATGCATGAAAAAAAGATAAAAAACTACACTGCAAAGACAAGGCAACAGCACCACAATGTTATCCAAAGGATACGCTTCTCTTTCTGGGGTGATCTGACCAGTGATGACACCATGAATAAGTCCCGAAATGAGGTTTGTGTTTTGTGAAAACAACAACCAGATGTCTGAGAGAATTTATCTTTCTTTGTGCATGTTTGCATTCTTATTATCATTATCCATGGTTACAGCATTGCTCTTGGGAATGTTGTTATGGTTATTTAGTACATCACTTTGGTTCAAAATGAAATATCTCAGTCACTGAATTGCCAACTTTTTTTCATTTGTTACAGCTATCCATGGTGTCGAGAAGGTGAAACTGACTTGACTTTAGGTATTTCTCTGTCTGTCTCTTACAGATTTGGTATGTAGAGATAAAAGTCTCAAGGTATACTGGATAGATTTCCATGAAACTTGGCAGATTTACTGTGCCCAGAGGATAAGTCCTATTGACTTTGCTTATCTTTCGAATCTTTAGAAGGAAATGAACAGGTGTGGCTAAGGACCTTAAAAATAGCCCCATAAATTTTAGGTAACCCAGCACTTGTGTTTTTTGTGACTTATTTGAAATTTCAATGAAATTAAGTACTTTTTGAAATGAAATTTATCCTCAAGTTGTGCATTTCCCACAACAAATGTTAAAATACGAACTGTGAAAATTATGGGCTATTGAGTGGCACCAGATTGTATAAGATTATTAGCATTAATCCTGCTAAACCAGACAATGATGGATTTGCTTCTTCGGGAATGTTGCAATGCTAGCATTAGCATTTAGTATCTAAGCGCAAAT